TGCTGATCCTGAACCATCATTGGAATAAATGACTGGAAGCCAGGCTGAAGCACAAGTGAAGTCAGGCATGTCACCGTATTTTTCGCTCTGTAAAGACGCACTTTCGCCCTCCTAAAAAGTAAGGGGAAATGTGTGTGCGTCTTATGGAGTGAATGCAGGCGGGAGGCTCTGCTCAGCGCTTCCTTTAAAGAGCCGCATGGAGTGTGTGTGCAGCGGCTCTTGGGGGAGACTTAGCCGTGCGCAGCCTCTCCCGGGCAGCACAGCGATCCTGCTTGCTGTCCTGGCTTCTGGGATTCATAATATTTTTTTTCTTGTTTTCCTCTTCCAAAAACTAGGTGCGTCTTATGGTCTGGTGCGTCTTATAGAGCGAAAAATGCGGTGGGTAGAAAGACAACCACAGAAAAGCTCATTGTATAAATGAAGCCAAAGGTATAATTAAGAGTGAAATTCACACAAAATGGAATAAATCAATAGATGCCGGGAGCTGGAGTCAGGGATAGGTCGGCAATAAAACAATAAAGCAGCCAATGTCAGTGAAGTTAACTCTTTATTCAAAGAAAGAAAGCAGGTCAGTCCTAGCAGCTGCAACAACCCTTCCCAAGGAGGTCTTGCTCCAATGAAGCAGTTGTGAGGACTGAAAGTCCTCACCTTTCCACCACTGAAGCTCCCCCCCATCCAGTTCCTTCCCTAGCAGTCTAATGCTTTGTCAACTTGCCTCTTGTTCATTTCTCTGCATGTTCTGAGAGACCAGGGGAGAGGGGAGCTGGTTGCAGCAGGAGTGGGAGCTTCCCTAGATTCTTCAGCAGCCTGCCTTATCTCTATCTCCTGCCCCCCCCCTTTCCTGCCTCTGAGTCTGGACTGCCCTCTGCCACAGCCTCTTCCTGCTCACTAAACTCTGTTAACTCTTCAGCTTCCAACGCCTCCTCTTCCCAGTCTTCTCCCTTTCCATCATCCCACCACCACTCCCGTGGCTCTGAGCCTTCTTCCCCTGGGGGTTCCTCAGCTGGTGCCTCCCACCACTCCATGGCATCCAGCCAGTTCATGACAATAGATTAACAGAAGAGTTTAGACATGTTATGGTCTTTGCCTTCTGTCTTTCAGAAATAGTTGACATGAAACACATATGTACAGCTTGAAAGAGGGTGTGGGAATATGCTCCCAAGTCTGGTGCCACCACAGGATTTTTGTATGAATGTATTTGAAACCTCAGAGACTCTAGTTCAAAACCGACCAAGACACTTTCCCTGCTGTCTTAAAGGCACCAGCAAAAGTATTTTCATTGCACACAGTCCAAATAAAGTAAGATTTGATGGGTTTCCTTCAAGTTCCCAGAGGGGAAGTGGCAATAAACTAGTTGCATAAACCAGAAAAACTGCAAACCTTTTGAATAAGAACAGCCAATGGTTGTGGTAGCAGCTTGAGGTTAGAAGCACACAGAAGGCTGCCATGGATTCTGTTTTCCCAGTTTACTAGTTTTTTGAAACCCTCTTTAATCACTTTCCGTTTTCCTGGATTCTCTTCTAGAACTTCCACCCAATTCTGAAACTAAATTTATTCTTGTAGGACTTCCTGATACTTACCATGTTCTGTCCTCATCATATCAGCTCATATCAATCATTCACATTTAAGCTTTCTTTCTTTCTTTCTTTCTTTCTTTCTTTCTTTCTTTCTTTGTCTTCCTTCCTTCCTTCTTTCATTCTTGCCTCTTAGCTACTTTGAAGAATGACATTGATTTTATGGGGTTCTATGTTTTATTTGATATGTTGTATTTTAACAAAATGTTAGATTATGTTGAATCTTATTGAAATGTTCTGAACTGCCCTGAGAAAAGGAAAGCAGGGCAATGCATTTGGCACCAGCTTGGCGGCAGGAGTTGCCGGAAGGAGGTGTACAAGACGCCACCCAACCGTTTTAGGGACACCACTCCAGATTTGTGTAGGGTTTACTCCTTAGCTCTTTATTCTCCCAAAGATGTCTCACAAGGCACTGGGTGTGGATTTTTCCTTGGGGTTTACTCCTGAAGCTTGTGAGAGTAGAGTAGGTATAATTGTGCTGGATTTCCAAGTGGACAAGGGCTACTCCTTCATTGTCCATGCAGGTATGCTGTTGCATTATCTGCCTTCAGGAGAGTTTGCCTGTTGCAATTCTGCGTGAGTTTCTGCTCTGCACTTGCCTTCTGTGCATACTTTTGTTAAGAACACATGCTGTATATGCAAAAAGTCCAAGCTTCAGTAACTGGAATCTCCAGCTACAAGGATTTCAGATCCAAAAGACACTCACTTGATGCCGAGAGCCAGATATGTCTACTGGCATAGACAGACCAATTGCTTGTAATGCGTTTCCTCCCAGTGTAATGCAGTTTCATGTGCATTCATTTTTAAATGTTTATTTGATGTTAAATGCTTTATACTGTTAAAAGTATCCAAGGTTGGGCCCAGTCAGCCACCTCCTCCCTTCATTTTGGAATGCTATATAAAAAATATTGATACCTGTAGAGGCACACTGTTTATCATTAAGATTGGGGAGAAGGCAGGATATATAAAAACCTGAGCCCAACATCCCAAGAGGAGAAAGTGTGTTTTTCTACAGTCAAAAAGTGAGTGGCAGTTTTAGGATAAATGGAAATGAAATGTGACAATGAATGATAGTGTAGACATACCCTGAAGTTGCTAAAACCAAGATTCACCTTGTGGGCAGTGACCTTAGTTAAAAAGGAAGCACAAGCAATTGAAAATAATAATAAAAACTCCTGCATGTTTCTCTCCAAGTATTTTGCTTACAGAGGACTCCTCTTTGGCCGAGTATGTCAAGCACTGAACACTAGTTGTATTACATAGTCAATTTTACAGCCCATTAGTTGTTGAATTTATGTAGGAGAGATGAACTGCAAAAATTCCAAGTCAACACCTGACATTGGCTAAGTGCTTATTCTCCTTTTATCCAATTTATCACACCTTGTTCTTTCTATACACCCCCATTCCAATTATTTTTCAAGTCCCTTCTTTGTTGTCCTTCCTTGTGATGTAGCCTTTTGTGTTTCTCTTCCGTAACTACTGAACTATTTGTCATAGAGCTAGGTCTAAAGCTTATTAAAGTTATTGGACTTTGAAGTATAAGCATTTGTATAACTGTCATATGCTATGGTTGCTATTTAGAACAGTTATTCAAGGCTCCTTTTATGCCAGTTACTGCCTGTAATGTTTTATTAACTTCTCCCCTCCCAACAATGTCTGGACGTTTTAGATATATTTGTTGAGAATTGGCGGGCGGGGGGGGGGAGGGGCAATCATACATCGCTTTCTAGGTTCACCCACCATAGAGAAATACTTCCTTCCTAGAGAGCAAAGTGTGAGCGGAAAAGATTCTAGGTCAGATATACTGATTTCAGGATGATTTTATTTACAGGGGGAAATAGAGAATGTACTTTGGTATTAAAAATATGTATGTAATTAATACAAAGGGTGCCCTTCCATATTGTTTACATTTTATATTTAAAAGCCCCCCCCCCCATTACTTAAACTGTTATGAGGAAGTGGTGTTTTTTTCTAGAAAAATAGGTGTCGGTATTCACCATGAAGCTATTATAGTATCACACTTTTTAACCAAAAAGAAAGAGGTGCAGGTACTCACCATGAGTTGTTACAGTAAGTCAAGTGCCACACTTTTTAACAACAAAAGAGGTATCCCCTGAAAAAAAAAAGCACTGTGAGGAAGCATTATAGTATAGTGACTATGAATGTAAGCTAGACAATTCGCAGTTCAAATCCCATTTCAGCCGTCACCTTTTCAGGTGGCCTCAGACAAGTCACTGTTCTCTCAACTTCTATTCCGCTAGTCTATAATAGAGAGACAGACTGGTAAAGTTTACTTTACAGACTAGCATCATCTGAAGTATTACAAAAAATGTGTATGTTGAAGTGGTTTCATCACTGAGGAAATGGAGCTATTTATAAACGCCAGGCACTGTCTATTGCTATTTATGTCAGTGAAGCGATTAGTAAACATAGTCTCTTTCCTCCTGGCCAATAAAACCACTACTGCTACTTTGCACCAGCAGAATTTCTCCAGATCAAACTCCCAAAACCCAAGGGGTGTTGTCTGGGGTGATAAAAATACTGTTTTGTGCACAAGTCTTCTCACCTATACAGGGTGTCAGAAATTCCCATTCTACAGCTTAGATATATGCTAGGGACATGCTTGCTTGGAAACAGATACTACTGTACAAAACAAAGCAAACTTATTTGAACCCTGGGATAACTACTCTCTGTAAGCGAATGTAATTCGCTTTAGCAATCTTTTAACAGTAAACTGCCATGCAGAAATACCAGCAGCTTGAAACTCCCACCTAACCGCAATCCGTATATACCGGGAAAGGCTTCACGCGTTCAAATGCCTGCATGTTGGGACGCAACCCTTCACACCCCTGTTTAGAAGTTCTGGAACCCGGTGGGATTCACTGCTCAGTTAAGTGCATAGGCTCAAGATGCAACCCTGTACACATTTGTTCCACTAGGTATAATGGGGTATATTTGAGCAAACCACTCAAACAGCACACACACGTACTCGCAGCTCCTAGCTGGGTTTGCCCAGTCGGTGGTTTGTCTGGTTTGTCCCTTTTTAATTCCTACTCACACGGACACCCCGCTTGGCCACCCGAGGAGCTCAACTCAACATGCTTCTCTCCCCCCCCCCCAACTCCCATTTCACCCTCACTAACAACCCTGCGAGGTAGGTGAGGTCCGGAGTAACCTGGCGGCTTTCACACCCGAGTCAAGTCACCGGCTTTCCGCCTATAGAGAGCGGCGCCGGCGGGTCTCCCGCTGCCCCTACAAGCCGGCCGAGTAGCCACCCTTGCACCCATCACGTCCCTTTCCCCCGGGCCGCCTCCTCTTTCGGGAAACGTCTAGGCCGCGCCTGGGAAGCCAGCTCCGAGGCCGCCGGGATGCCGCTGCCCTGTCGCCGCCGCCTTCTTCCAGGAGGAGGCGCGGCAGGGACGCAAGATGGCTGCGCAGGATGACACGGCCCGTCACGTGGCGGAGCCGTCGCTTTCCCTCCCTCCCTCTTTCCCTGCTTGCCTGCCTGCTCGCCCGGCCGACAGTCCCCTCCTCCTCCGCCTCCGTCCGAGACCCCACGGGCCGCCGCCGCCGCCGCGCGCTCCCCGTGTTGCTGGCGGGCGAGGAGGCGAGGCAGCCCCGTCCAAAGAAGCCTCCTCCATCCCGTCGCCAGCTAGCCCAGCCGGCGGAGAAGCGCCTGCTGCAGAACCACAGCTGCTGCTGCTGCTGCACGCCGGGCACTGGCAACCGGGAGCCTCCGGAGGGAAAGCGGCCCACGGAAGAGGAAGGTAGGTGAGTGCCCGGTGGGTCCCCTCGGGAACCTCCCCCCCCCCGCCGCCGCCCGCCTGCTAACCAGCGGCGCCAGCGGGAGCAACCGGGATTCCCAATATAGCTCTTGACGCGTCAGGGGAGCGCGGGCAGAGGGCCAGGTTTGGAGACATATGCGAACTGGTGGCTGGAGGGGGGGAGGCGGGAGCAGAGGCGAAACGCGCCGAAGTTGGGGGCGAGGGAGGCGCGAGTGTGGGGTTGGGATGTTTGCAAGAGTGGCCGGGGGAGGGGGCCGGGAGAGCGGGGGTCGACACTTGAGGAATTGCACTCCAGCTAGTCGCAGCAGCAAGAGCAGCAGCAGCAGCAGTAGTAGTAATAGTGGTGGTATTTTTTCGTGCTCCTATTAAGCATTCGCTCTGGTAGCAACGTCGGGGCGGCTGAGGGCGGCGGGGTTTCTGCTCGAGCGAGGAGATGCGGCCGGGGCGGGGCGCGCGCTGGCGAGGAAAAGAGAGCAGCAACTCCGGCGGCCGAGGTCGAGGTGCGGCTGGTGTGTTACGTAGGACGGGGTTGCGGTTGTTGGCCAGGTGAGTTGCTACGATATGGGGGGGCGAGGAGGAGGAGGGAATTGAGGCGGAGGGGCCTCGTCGTCTCAGCCAGGAGCCGGTCGAGTCGAGAGCTGTTGTGTACACACGCCTTGCCGGTCTGAAGTGACCAGGTGAAGTATTTCGTGAGACCAGTTGCTGGGGAACGTGGACGGCAGAGAGTGCTGTTTTGCTTTCCGCCCCGCTTGTGGGTTTCCCTCACCTCCCCCAGGTATCAGCTGGCTTGGCCAACAGAAAGCTGGACTTAACTTGGTAGGCCTTTGGTCTGATCCTGCAAAGGCAGCTCTTAGGTTCTTAATACTATGACTGGAGGCAGTTACAGGGCCAGGGCTGTGTGTGTGTGTGTGTGTGTGTGTGTGAGAGAGAGAGAGAGAGAGAGGGGTGAGACAGCAGCTTTGTAGAAAGGCTGGGCCTATGAAGTCCCAGTGACTTAAATGGGTTTACGCTCAAGTGTGCATAGGATTACAGCCTGGGGTAAATATATAAGGCAGGAAGTAGGATGAGGTGGGGCTGGCGATTCTGGTTAAGAGTAGTAAGGTTTTAACTGTGTGTGTGAACAGGAGGCTACAGGATGTTTTGCAGTGAAAACTAGATAACACCTGTTGTTCCGTCAAACTGCTTTGTGTGCATTTATATCAGTGCACATGCACAGTGCGGCAATATTAGACACCATGCAGATGAGGGGCTTTGGGTGATGGCATAAAGCAGGGGTAAAACTAGGCTTTATTTCAAAGACTCAGTTTGGCTACCCCCCCATGTGCATTTGTGTACACACACACACACACACACACAAGCTGGGAGCCTCAATGGCACACCCCTCTGGAGACTTCACCCAGGGCAAAAAACCTGGCTAGCTGCCCCTTAGCTACGCCTCTGGCATAAAGCCATCATTTGAGTTCATACCTGATGTTGGCTTTGAACTAGTTGCTTAGGAAGCAGCTCTAATCCCACTTATGTAGAAGCAATCCCTGTCAATTCTTTTGAGTAGAAATTATTAGAGTTGTAGCCTTAGCATGCTATCTGAAGGTGTGCTAAGATTAAAATTAGAGTTTTCACCATAGAGGAAATTGATTTGGAAAGAAGATTTGTGTACTATCTGAGGTTAATGTGAAGGTTGGAGAGGGGTGTGTTTGGGAAATATTGGACCTGGCTAGTGTGCTGTTTGTTAGTCTCTTTTAGCAGTGCTATGGATAGCAGTTCTTAGGAGAACATTTAAATAACCATATCACATGCCATGTTGCATGCACTGTTAGAATTGTCAAAGATCTTCTGTTGTTGTAAAGTATTTTTTTAATACTATACCTAGTTCTTGGTCACTGGAGGAGTGGAGCATAGACGAAAAGTTTAACTTTGCTTTTAGAAGGCAGGGTCAAAACTATATTTTAAAAAACGGTTTGCTGTGGCTGCCCAGAAGAGGAAGGAACCTTTCCCCCACAGTTTTGACTCTTTCAATTGGAGAGCATGACTAATTTTTAGGTCTGTGTGCTTTGCAGGCAGGAGCAGTTATGATTTCTTTCCCTTTCCTTTTCCTTTTCCTTTGCTCTCCAGCATCACATGTTTTGAAGGAAGGGAAGCTTCTTATTTTATCTTTCGTTCACACCCCACTCCACCAGCGCTGTAACCAGGAGAGACAGGGTTCCAGATTAAGGGGAGGGTATATCTAGATGCCCCTTCTGGCTCTTCCCCTCCCTAGCGTACCACTTTGCAGAGGGACAAGAACATGCTTTTGTACAGCTTAGCATGGATCTGTTCTTCCACCCCTCCCTCTTCTTCCTGAGCAAACAAAAAATTGGGACCAGTGCTAAACACAGCATGGTAAGCTCATGTTGGTGCTCTGTTTCTTTGGGGCCAGGTTGATAGGCAAGGAATGTGCTCCAGGCAGCTCTGTGTCTCCTCACCATCTCTAAAAACATCAAGGAGGCACTTGTGCAGGTTGTAACAGGACACTTTGGCCCATGCCAGTTGCTTGGGAATACAGACTATATGTTTTGAGAGTGTAGGGAAGGAATTGAAGGCCCAACATGTCTCTTAGTGAGAAGAGTGGGAGGTGCTTCCATTGCTTGTGAGGCATCATCTCCTTGGATGGAGGGAAGCTTCAGACATGTAGCAAAGGACAGGAGCTTTTATCCGGGGATAGCCCTGCTGCAAGGACAGTGAATCCTTCAGGAGATCAGATCCACTTGCCCACAGAGATATTGGGCTGGCTTAATAAAGAGGTTATGAAAGAAACAGTTGCCGAATTTATTTCATGCCTGCCTAGGCACTGAGAGCATAGATCAAAGAGACAAAGGGAACATTCATTCCCCCCACCATCTTTCTCTTTTTCTTCATCAGCTCTTCCAGAAAGTGCTGCAGGGACATAACCTGTGGCTCAAACCCTGGTAAGGCAATCAGTAATCTAAATCAAGGTTGTCCACCACACCTTTTTTGCAGGGGGAGGGTGTGTGTGTTGTTCTTCAGTCCTTGGCACTGTTGGCCCAGCTGTGGCCCATAACGGTACACTCGTATCCTTGTCTCAATGGTAAGCTGATCAGGGTCTTTCCTACACCAAATCAACCAGGAATGTTCAGGTTATTTTTTTCATCATGAACCCATGCTCCTTCAGATAAGAATCACTGGAAGAGTTCTCTCAACCTTTAACATCAAATTCAACATCTTGAGTGACCATAAGCACTGCTCAAAAGAAAGAGGATTGGCCAATTCCAAGTTTTAACCATTAGACCATGGACTTTGCTTGCCTTCAGGGCTCCATGGCAATCATCAACTTGCTGCCCTAGGGAGGTTCCATGCCAGATTGCTGCAGTGGCTTCTTCTGCCCTTCCAGACTTTGATAGCTGAGAAGTTGGTTGGTGTGTCCGTCTAGGGAACGCCGCTGGTAATCCACATACCTCCTGACTGGGATCTCTCCTTTTATGCAGAGGACCTTCATGGTATCTTCCTTCAAATCATTGGGTTCCATCCCACATGAGCTTATGTGGAAGTTTGTGTTCCTGGTGGCAGTTGCTTCCATGAGCAGATAGGGAAATTGTGGGTGCTATCAATCAGTCAGTCAGGAACAATGTGGCATCTATCCTGAACTGGGTTGCCTTGCATCCTGATCTCAGTTTCCTACCCAAGGTGAACTCCAGTTGTCACCCATCCCTGGGGCCTATATTGCTTGACTTCTCAAAGCTAGGAAAAAGCTAGGAAAAGAAAAAAGAAAAAAGAAAGCATAGGAAAAGAAAGGGCATAAACTGGATGTCCGGAGGGCAGTCTGGATCTATTTGTCACGTACCAAAGAGTTGAAATGCACAGAAACCCTATTTGTGTTTTACAAGGCAGAGGCCCAGGGCAAAGAAAGTGTCCAGATGAACCATTAACTGGTTGGTCAGGGAATGTATAGCACTGGTGTACCTACCATTCTAAGTCTCAGCCTATTCTCTTAGGCACTGTGACCCATTCTATCTTAGCCAGCCGCTAAGCCCATTGCTTCATCTTTGGGAGACTCTACAAGGGAGACAAATATGTCCTTGATGAGGTGGCCTTTAGCAGGAGGGTCCTTCAGCAGGTTCTGTGACTGGAAGTTTTCCCACCTAGTCTTGGGGATACTTCTTCTGAAAAACTTTTCCTGTGTGTTCCAGTCCTCTGCTGACTGACAGTGGAAAGTTGAATTTACCATGAAGTGTTCTTCTGGAGCAGATAGCCCTGCCTTGTGAGTTCAGCCTGGAATATTATGAAGTGGGGAGAGATTTCTGTTTTGTATCTTCTGCACTTTGCAGTGTTCCTTTCACTATTCTATCTCAGATTTATTCTGGGTTCCTTGTTCTCTTCTAGCTACCTAGTTCTGGTTTGCCACTGCTCCAGAGTTGTCTGTGGGAGACACTGTTATTGCTAGGACCAAGTCTATGTACTGGGGGACTGACCCCCTCCTCTTCTGGATGGTCACAGGAAGCTTAATACCGTTTTGACCTTGCCTTCTAGAAGTGGAGTTAATCCTTTCCTCTGTGCCCCACTCTCTGCTGACTAGAAGAATAATTAACAGTACAGTGGTACCTCGGGTTAAGTACTTAATTCGTTCCGGAGGTCTGTTCTTAACCTGAAACTGTTCTTAACCTGAAGCACCACTTTAGCTAATGGGGCCTCCTGCTGCTGCCGCACCGCCAGAGCACGATTTCTGTTCTCATCCTGAAGCAAAGTTCTTAACCTGAAGCACTATTTCTGGTTTGGTGGAGTCTGTAACCTGAAGCGTATGTAACCTGAAGCGTATGTAACCTGAGGTACCACTGTAAATACAGCTTTCCACAGAGTATAACAAAATCTTGGTCAGTTCTCCTGATCAATAGGCAATGAGAGTTGGGGAACTTGTGTATTGCAATAAGGAGCTTGTTGATGCTATTACGTTGTGTAACAGTGAGATTTCAGCCTAGTTAGGAACCTGAAAAGAATTGTAGGAGGAGCTTGCATTTAATTGTTTTTGGCTTATCTTCCACTTGCTCTAGTATAAATGTAGCAGCTAACAAGCCTGTAATCCATAGCATCTCTTGTTAAGCCTGGGAAAAATTGCTGTATCGAGTCCTGATGAACTGTTGCCAATCAGCAAAGAAGGTAGTGACCTAGATGGGCCACTGGTCTGATCCAGTTATAAGGCAGTTTCCTATGTTTCCATGCATCTTGCATAGTAGGACTTCTGCCTAGCAGAAGGTTTGCTATGATGGTGGGAGCAGAGCATGCGGCTTACCTCAGTCCTCTGGGTCAAGTAGCACTCATTGAGCTAGCAACTATTTGTACACAATACAAAGCAGCTTAGTTGAGTTTCACATGTTAGCATTGGCAGTGATTTGCCTGCTTATAAAACCGGGTGGCCAGCTGCCCTTTATTTAAGGCTTTTCAAACTATTGAAACTTGATTGCTCACAGAAGAAAGTTTCTGCATGAACAGACTAGAAACTTTAACATTGCTACTTGTCCTAGATGCCATTGTACCATAAAGTCTCTCCACCCATCCCAAGTCAGTTCCAAATGTTGCACAGAGGAACTGCAGATGTGATGTACAAGTCACTTGTTCATCTGCTGTTGCAGCAGATAAAGTTGTGTTTAGAAGCTGTTGTCTTTGATTTGGAAACAATAATAAACATGATATTTAAACAATTCTGGAGGGGTGGAGTTTTTGCTTTGAAAAGTGCTTCAAAGTAAAAGAATGTTAGGTCGGTCCTTTTTCTTCCCACACCCTCTTCTCTTTTGTAGTTGAGATTACTCCTGAGCTTACTGTATTCCAGCTGTGGCTTTGTATGAAATATTAATAATGGTTAATAACAGCTAAGTGAGATAATGCAATTTTCAGTTACAGAAGATGATCTGAAGAGCTGGCACGAGAGTTTTCACTGTGAACTCTGCACAGCAGGGAATTCAACTCATAATCAAGATTCTTACAACTTGACTATAATGAGGTTACCTGAAAGAGACTCCTGGCAATTTCAATGAACCGCACTTGCAAGTGTGCTAAGGACTGGAGTCTTATATCTTTATTCAGTACTCTGCTGCACATAGGTTTCTGCTTTAGCTTTGCCACACAAGATAATCAATATATCTGATAGTTTTATTTTGTTAATAGTTTGACATCTAAAAATAAGTTTGTGTTAGCTTAGCTTCCTCGCAAAATAAGTCGTAAACTTGGACTTGTGTGTTGTAGTTCATCAGTAGTTCCCTTTCTTCTTTAGGTTTTTGATATTTAACTTTGATTGCTAGGTCTGATTTAATGCTAAAAGATAACCTGGGAAATAGGTTATCTATAAGATTAAGGCCTGTCTCTGCTCAGAAGATACATTTTATACAAACATGTTTGTAAGCCATTTTAGAGACCTAGATAGCAGAAAGTATGATATAAATCTGTTCCATTAATAAATAATGCTGAACAGGAGAGCATATTATGGGGCAGGAGTAGGGAACCCCAAACTCTTCCAGTTGGTGCTGGATGGAGTACAGCTCCTGTCGTTTCTGACGGTGTTGACTGGGGTTGAAGAGAGTTGGAGTCCAACAACTTGGAGAGAGCTGCTAGGATAGGGCACCCTTTCATATATATTTTCTATTCCTATTTTATGTTTCTTCTTGCAAGAAATGTACCTACAAGCTTGGATTCTCAAAAACCAAAGGAATGAGGCTGTACGTGAATTTATGATTATTGTTGTCAACAGCAGGGGGTTGCTGTCTGTCATTATAGGGCTTTTATTTTCTTGAAGGGGTGATTTATTAAAAGAAGGTGGTATGGTCTATATGTTGTATTACTAAGATAGAAAACATATGCTCCTTACTTCTAAGTAACCTCCACTGGACATAGAGCTTACATTTGTGTAAGTATGCATAGGATCAGCCTGACAGTTAAGATCTGGCAGCTGTTTGAGGGAATGACACACAGCAGTGTTCACCTAAAGCAGTGCTTCAAATATTAATGCAGTCTTTCATAGTGATGTTTCTAGTACCTTCTCTGCCACTTCCTGCTTAACATGTGGGTTAATTTTGTTGTTGGCTTTAACATGTTATGCTGAAATTGCGAATGCTAGGTAGCTTGTTGTGGCTAAGATTGCAATACTAAGAACACTTTAACTTGGAAATAAGTCCTATAAATCAGGAATTTCTCTTATGGTTGGGCTGCAAAATACATCAACAAGTGTCTAGAGTGTGTCTCTAGCACGTTGTCATTAAAACTGAATAATGAGTACTTTCTTGATTGTTTTCTTTTTCTTTTTTTAAAAAAAGCAATATATGTAGACTGTATAGAAAGTCTTTCAGATAAATAGTACTACATATATTACAGCACTTTAAAATCCTTTTTTTTTTTTAGTACTGCATAACCCTTTCTGCAAATTATTCATTTTTGTTACCTTTCATTTCTTGTCTCCTGTCTTCTGTGGTTATTTTCAGTAGATGTTGTAGATAGCAATGGTATCCATACAGTATATATATATTCTGTATCTAAAGAAGAGGCTGGTTGCAATGATATTGAGGAGGGTGGGAATAAGAAAGCTTCTGTTTACTGTGCACTCAGACTTTTAAAATTGATACTAAAAGTAGTATCCTCTCTAATACTCTCGATGTGAACAATGGAAAGAATTCTGGCAGTGGTACTGTTTTGTAAAATGTTGCACAAGAGTTAGCAAAATGTGGAACATAGCACAAGCATGCATATTGACATGTACAAGCTGCTGCATGAGGTCTCGTGTTAGCTGATGATTGTGCAAAGAGATTGAAAAATGTCTTGTGCTTACAGAAGCGCTCCTGAATTTCAATTCTCTTTTCTCACCTGAGGGTTTTATATTAAGCCTACTATGAAGCAACTGACTTGGTTCCCATGCTATGATGATTCATGTGCTCTCATCAAATAACGTGAGGAAAGTTTGCTGATTCAAGTATGTGTGGTTTCACTGGCTGATGAGTCTCTACTAATATAAGCTTCATGCCTCATCCATAGTGATGCAATGCTGTCACTTGTCACAATGACTGCATTCAGATGACACTTTCCCCCCATCTTCCTGATGTTTCCTTACCTGTTAATTTCCACATTTTATCTGAACTTTTACTATTTTTTGTTGGGAGCCACCCAGAGCGGAGTGGCTATGCAGCCCAGTCAGATGGGTGGCATATAAACAACAACAACAACAATTATTATTATTATTATTACTACTATTATTGCTATTATTATTATTATTACAACTTAAAAATCACTTTTGGTAATCCAGTAGAGTCTAGCAGAAATCTAGTGCTCATTTCATGTTATCCATTTTCGGATAAAAATAGTTAGCAATCCTGTTAGCTTGGAAAACCACAGAGATTTGCATTGTGCTTTTCCTCAGGTTTACATGATTGCACCACTGCTGATGATGTGTTGAAATCTTGGGTGGTATCTTAGTATGCAGTTCTTTCCTTCTATATAAAAGTTAACACAACTTGGCAGTATATGGATAAAAAAAGCCATGGTTCCATAACACAGTAGGTACTGCAGTGTAAAATGAATGGTTGAAATTGGGACAGAAACACTAGCATTATCAGTAAAAATAAAGCAATAAACCCCACCTCTAGATCCTGGCTGGGTCTTGGGTTTCTGACAAAAATGGGTAGGCAGCCCACTTCTGTAGCATCAGTTTTGGAGGCTACTCTGGTCATTACTTCAGTGCTGTTGATTGTGGTAGTATGCTGGCATGACTACCCATGCATGTACATCTCATTTCTGAAAGACTGAAATGATCATGCATAGGGTTGAGCCATGAGTATGTGTGTTATGTGTAATAGCTATGTAATCAACTGAAGTTTGTGACAACCATCAGCAGCAGACTTCTGCCTCTACAGCAGGGGTGCCCAAACTTTTTTCAAAGAGGGCCAGATTTGCTGAAGGGAACATGCATGAGGGCCAACCAAAATTGTTGAGCTTTTCTTTAGGATTTTACCCCAGGACATATGCTGCCACGGGGGCCGCATTAAACTGACTGGCGGACCGAATTAGGCCCCTGAAACGGACTTTGGACATGCCTGCTCTACAGTATTGTGCCCTTTAAGGTAGACTGTCTCACTTGCCATCTCAGACAGCTCCTTAAGTTCATGAAATTTTCTTGTATTGAACCTTTGACCTCCTACTGCTGACTTGGCATACTATTGTCAACTTCTGGTGCAATCTTCCATTTGCTTTAAAGTAATAACTCACCATGCTATTGAAGTTCCTCTTGCTCTGCCAAACCAGAAGAGACCTATTTATATACAGATTAGAACATAAGTATTGTGAAATGTTCTGCAGAACTACCACCAGTGTACTGAAAGGAATTGTAAAGATACATACTTGGACTCTAGCCTAAGGAGGCTCAAAGCAATTAGTCAGACCTTTTCAAAGGTGCCACAGCATTTTTCAGTGTTTGGGCTCTGCAATGTAGGTTGGAAATTAAGTATTTTTCTTCCTAATAGGGGCGATATATGAATCTTTGAACTCTGTCTGTAGCACAGAGCTATATTTCCTACAATTTTAAAAAATGTAATAAATCATTGTTCTGCAACATAAATGTTCTTTTTAATTCCAAAATGTAGCACAACAAGTGTTTATAACAGAATAATAATAAAAAATCCTATGGGGTAACCCATTGGGCATGTAAAACAATATTGCTTTCTTTGGAGAATACACTTTCTCGTCATAATAGAAAACAACATTTCAGGTGTCTAATTAAATGAAGTCTGGTTGTACTCCCTTGGTTTTCACATTTGGCATCTACTCATAACTATCCAAGTAAGAAAGGAATTGGTTTCAAAGTCAAAGGGTGGAATCCAGCATAGCATTAAGGAGAGCCATTCATCAGCATAAGGATTTCTGCTTGTGCAACAGAACTTAATCCTCTTCTCCTTCCCCATGCCCCTAAATCTATTCCAGGGGTTCCCTCAACCATCTGGAGAAGATTTGAGGTAGGTGCTGGACTCGTGTGGGTGGAGAAGAGGGTAGGAAAGGCCTGTTGTAGAAGTCAAAATCCTTGCACTGATGAGACTCGTTAGTGGAATACTGCCCAAAGGTCTACCAAAGGAAATACCACTGTTCATTTTTTACTTACAGGAGGTTCCGCTTAGTCACTTCAGCAGAGTACCACCTAAATGGGAAGTGAAACCCTGAGTTTTGTCAAGATAAAATGTCCAGCTTATGAAACGACAAATGGATTTTAGTACTTGGTAAACTTACAGTGATGTACAGGAAATGAAGTGAGTGATTCCTTGTCTGACACCAACATTCACCAGTCAGCACTGATATCTAGCCTTTCTATATCTCTTGAAGACACCAGACAAGTTTTCAGTTTAGAGAGGGAGCAAAAGGGTAACAGTGATAAAGGCTTTTTGGGAATTATTTGAGACTACAAAGAATGTAATGCGATTACAGGTTTAGTGGAATCCTCACAGCATAAACTATGTGTTCCTCTTTTTAGGCATATAATAAAAGGCAACTGCAACCTTGAAATGTATAGGTGGATAGAGATTGGGTAGTCAAGAAAAAGGAGGAAAGTTCTGGGATACTTTACAGACTTAATAATTTTATTGCTGCATTAGGTTTTATGGACCAGAGCACATTGGGTGGATTAACTATTTAGTTTTAAAAGTTGGTAGGTATTGAGGGATTGAGAAGAGGGAAAGTAATTTGACCTATTGTGGCAAACCAAAAAGGGCAAGATATGTCTTCATTAGGGTAGGAGACTAACAAGGCTGTTATTTGGGAACTATTAAAGACATTTGAGAAATATGTATTGCAAATCTGGTTATTAGTTGCTGCAGAACTACTCTGTCATTCTCTCTTACCTTTTGGCTTGAGTGAACTGCAATGTCTTGCCGTGAGAAGTGCAGTACACAGCTGTTTGGGCAAGATAGCCCAATAATAACAAGGATACCATTCTGTAGCTTAAACAAAGAAGCAGTTTTGCTATCAAATGAAAGCAAAAGTTGATAGGGAGTTTGATTTATAATGTGAGTCCCTGGAATGTGGCAGTGTTTCTTGTTCTGGACAATACAGTTGCATTGCATTGCTTAAATAAATGCCATTCCATCTAGGCACAACATTTCTCTACGGGATAGAAAAGTTTCCCTTCCCCTTCCCCAAGATATTTAGGGGAAATGAGAACGTTGGACAGTTAGTCATGCAGCAATTGTCCTCTGTATGCAATTCAGTAGAGAAATTCTGGTAATATTTCCAAATCTTTTTCTAGCATTTGGTACTTTGAGTTGTTAGCAGCTTCAAGTAATGGGGAACAGGAAGAAGGAGAACATTGTGTTATTTATTCAGATGAAACATGTATACGTGTGTTCACATTTTTTTCTCACATGAGCTGCATGCCTTCAACAGTTTCTTATGGGAGGTTTTGTTTGCCATGTCTCTCTTACCAGCTGATACTTCTGTTTAGCGAGTATGCCCAGGAGTCTTGTAATTGCTAACTCAAACATGTTTGGATGAGAGTGAGAAACAGCATACTTGACATTCCTTTTTGCCTTCTGAATATCAATCATACACCTCTTTTTCCTAACAGTGGATGCTGGAAATTTATTATTTGTGTATTTATCTCAAAGAGCGAGTTGGCAGTAAATCAGACCATTCAAAGTTGGGAGTTAACTCTTTGTAAGCAAAAACATGATCTCCACAGACTTGGCAGAGTGTCAGGCCTAATGAGCACTGCACCTCATTCCTGGTAGGTCTTATCCCATGAATCAGTTGCTGAGACCGAAAGTTCCTGCCTCCCCAGAGTTTTCTAAGTTCTCTCCTTTCCAGGGCTTTCCCCAAACAATCAGACACTTCACCTGCATGCAGCCTGTCGCTTCTCTGCCCGTTTCAGCCCCCTTCTGGTTCTGGGATATGGCGAGGAGGGGTGCTTGTTGGCATAGCAGGAGGGGGAGATACCCATGATTCTTCACCATCCTGACTCATTTCTGCCTCTTGCCCTCATTTCTCCTCCCACTCGCTGGCTTTGGCTTCCGCCTCTGATTCTGGACTTCTCTCTGCCATAGACTCTCCCAGCTCACTAAGCTGTGTTACATCTTCAGCTTCCAACACCTCCCTTTCCCAGTCTTCTCCCTCTTCTCCCTCTGACCAGTTGTTGTTGTCATCCTACCACTGCTCCCCTGGCTCTAAGCCTTCTTCCCTTGGTGGTTTCCCAGCTGGTTCTTCTCACTATTCCTCTGTGTCCAACCACTCAATGACAATTTATTACTTAAAACAATTATAGCCTCCCTTCCATAAAAGTCCAGGGCAACGTACAGTCAAAAAACAATAAGCAGTAGTATGAAATAACATTTTAAAAAAGCAACTCTCAGCTGAAGCTAAAATATTTACTGTTTTTGATAGTCTTATAAGTGGGGGAGGGGGAGAGAAAAAAGATTGAGAATTGAAGCAAGGGAGAAGTAGCTCCTTTCCAAGTTGTTTGAGAACTGGTACTAATATAGATGGTTAAACCACTTTCCTTTGGGCATTTTCCTGCTGAAAAATTTCTTACCAAGCTGCTTTTACATTTGCAAGGGAAGAGACTTTACAGGAAGAGAATGGGCTCAGATCTGGGCACCACAGTTTAAGAAACATATTGACAAGCTAGAATGTGTGCAGAGGAGGGTGGCCAAGATGATAAAGGGTCTGGAAACCAAGCCTTATGAGGAATGGTTGAGGGAGTTAGGTATGTTCAGCTTGTATAAGAGAAGAATGAGATGTGATATGATAGCCATCCTCAAATAACTGAAAGGCTGTCACATGGAAAATGAAGCAAGCTTGTTTTCTTCTGCTCCAGAGGGTAGGCTCCAAACCAGTGGATTCAAGTTACAAGGAAGGAGATTCGAACTGAACATTAGGAAGAACTTTGGTCAGTGAGAGCTATTCGACCATGGAACAGATTATCTTGGAAGATGATGGACTCTCCATCATCAGAAGTTTTTAAACAGAGGTTGGATGGTCATCTGCCAGAGATTCTTTAGTAGTGATTTTTGCATTGCAGAGGATTGGACTAGTTGACCCTTGGGGTTCCTTCCAAGTCTACAATACTGCCATTTTTTAAACTTATGGGGAACAGACAAGCTGCTTTCTTGGTGCAATTTTAGGACTGCATTATGTTTGGGGTGCCTTTTATATGTATCACAGCAGTGAATTCTTACATTGAAATTTTCAAACGTATGGGGAATTCATATGATTATTGCACTATATGGATTCACCCATGGATAAGTATTTTTTTCTCAGTGATTCTATTTTGCAGTACATTAAATATTTAGACAATGGAATACTTAGAGGTGTGCATGAGCACACTTATGGCTGTAGCCTGTGAAACTGTTCTTAAAAGAAATGGCAAGCATGCGTAAGGGCTAAGTAGCTGGAGCTGGGAACAGGCTTTGAATACTACTAGCATGTTGGGCATCAGCTACAACTATTTGTCATTCATATTGCACTTGTCAGAACAGTTATGACTAAAAAGAGGTATACAAGATTGTAAATAAAATGTAACTATCACAGCAAGTTGAACTTAAAAGTTAATTAACAGCGCCTTTGCATGACTGTTCCAGTCACACACAATTAGTATGCACTTCTTAGGTTTTTTTCCAACAGAAAGTACCTAATTTACAGGTTCTGGAAATCTGATAATTAGCTCATTAATGGCCATCACACCCCTGTTTTTGCACTGTTTTTCTTTTATGTTTCATATTTGCAGCAGAATAACTAGCTTTAGTGTATTATGCACAACTTTAATACTTAGAACATCAGAAATAAGGTAGTCCATTGATGGGATTCTTATCATTTGGAAGTGAAACTGAAGACTAAAATGTGATGTGAAAACTTATTTTGAAGATATATTGGTTACAGCAGTTTCCCCCAACCTGGTGCCCTGAGGTGTTTTGGACTAAAACTCCTGTCTTCCCTGACCATTGGCAGGCTGGCCGAGACTGGGAGTTTGAGGCCAACAGTATCTGAAGGACACCAGGTGAGGGAAGGCTGGTTTAAACTGCGATCTCCTCTAAACTGTGGGGTGAGAGCATGGGGTGAGAGCATTCGCAGAGCCTAACCCCTGAAAGCAGTGTTCGAAATTCATCAGGCACCAGGCGCATTCTGTATGTAGCTTGTCACTAAGTGAAGATGCCTGGGTGCCAGGATGGCACCTGATGTCTCCACCATCTGGAGGTGCATGCCTAGGAATCCTTGGATCTTGCCTGTTTTCCCAAACCAGCAACAGTAATTCTATCTGTAATATTTTATCTACACAATCAGAACAAATTTCAGGAACCAAAAATGCATATTGAAAAATACAACTTTCGAGCCATCTGGCCCCCAATGGCAACTAGGCATTCAATTTTGGTGGCCATAACCCTGTTTTAAGGAGTCATTTGGTGCCTAGCTTGCATATCTGAGTTTCTAACACTGCCTGCAAATGTCCAGTTTATTATTCTCAGGCCTCAGGAATTGAAACTGATTCCACAGATCTGCAGGACCTGCCTCAACTGTGGTGTCCAGTTTGATACAGATGTCTGCAGCTTTGTTCTCGGTGCTTTTATAAATGCATCCCAGTGCACTTCTGAGTGATTAGCTGTTTCTCCCCCCTCAGATTGGGTTTAACCAGCCTGTTCAGCGAGAGCTGTTCTGAGGATGCAATAGAGGCAGATAAATAGACTTTCCACTCTGCCAACAGCACCACATGGTAGCTATGGTTATATGCTTTCACATATTCTCTGCTGTATTCACCCAAGACTTGTGCCACCTGTGCTCTAACCATCCAGCCCATTTCATCGCCTGGAATTCCTCAGAAGATCAATAAGCTTTCTGGGTTTCCTGCAGCCGGAGAGGGTACTGGGGAGTGATCATGTCTCTCACAAATGCATTCAGTGTTGTTGTGTCTGCATTTCTCCATCTCCATCTACGGTCTTGTTGATCAGTTGTCTTGTTATGGTCCCTGGGGCTTTGCTATAAAACCATATTGAGCTGCTGCTTCCTCATGCTCGTTAGAAAGCAGATAATTGCTAATTCTAGTTTTGAAACTTAAACCAGCACGTAACAAGACAGGGTAAAGGTAAAGGGACCCCTGACCGTTAAGTCAAGTCGCGGACGACTCTGGGGTTGCGGCGCTCATCTCGCTTTATTGGCTGAGGGAGCCGTTTACCTTCCCGCCGGAGCAGTACCTATTTATCTACTTGCACTTTGACGTGCTTTAGAACTGCTAGCTTGGCAGGAGCAGGGACTGAGCAACGGGAGCTCACCTCGTTGCAGGGATTTGAACCGCCGACCTTCTGATTGGCAAGCCCTAGGCTCTGTGGTTTAGACTACAGCGCCACCCGTTTCCCCAACAAGACAGGGTACTTTTATTAAAAAGAAGAGTAGAATTGGCTCAAGGTCCAAGCCATGCACATGGCTAAACCTTCTCTTATGAACAAGATACTGAATGCTCGTAGACAAATCAGTAGGTTGACATATATAAAGTGGAGTTTTTCCCACCAGAATTAAAGGGCAGAAGACCTAAATTCAATTATATAATCTTACTCTTACATATTTTACTAAAAATAACCAATAGGTTTGTGCTTGTTACCGGGACTTTTTCTGATTGAATGGAATTTTGTCTGCTTTATAAAACTTTATTTTCATGTTTCTGAGTGTATGCCAGGCTGGGCAGCCAGGAGTGTTATCCTGCTCAAAAGACAAACAAATTTGCTTTGCCGATATTCAAGCATTTAGAGTTTAAGAAAATTGCCGTTGAGAGCTGGAGTGACAATGATTGTGTAAAGAATCTATCTTAGAATGTTACAGGTATAATATTCCTGATCTTGCCTTGTTGAGGAAGATAATGGTGACCCCATGTGTGATATATTAGAAGAGAATGTGTTGAACAAAACTACAGCAAAATAGAAGCAATATCTCTCTCAGGTTTTGTTATGACCTTGCAGGTGTGTGTTTCCAGAAAACAAGATAGTCAGTGTTGTTGTTTGTAGACAATACGGGGAATAGATCCATAATGTGGAGCTTTTTTAGTTAGCTGGGACTTTTGTTGTCCTGTGTAGCAAGTTATTCTCTTGGCTTTGCTCACCCTGTCCCATAGCAAGTACATTAGGTCCTGAAGGAAATGTCTATTGTTTGCTGAACACTTGATCTCTTCTAAGAATATTTTGGGCTGTTCTTGAACTTTTGTTTTGTTCTTCAGATAATAGAGCTATTTTTCTAGAACTGCTTCCTTTTCGTGCTATAAATGCAAACATGTTTTCACACAGATATCAAGCAAGAGACATCAAAGTTTAAAATTAGTTGGCAGTGTGTCCATTGATGGAGCAAGCGAGCGTAAATGATTTTGTTGACCGCCTCATTTATTAAGCAGGCAGTATTTTTTTCACAGCACATTTTATAGATAAATGGAATACACACAAGACATATATGCACAACAATTTCTGCCCTCTTCTTTTGAAGGGAAAGGTTTGCATTCAGTGAAGCTTTTGTACACCTGGAGCGACAAATATGTATTGGAGTTGCTGGAATCAAAGCGTTTGAGCTAAAACCCTCTTCCTTTTGGTTTGTAATTCAGAATTCAGTAAATGTACTAAGTTACAGAACAGTAGCTTGTTGATGCTGAGGAATTCTTTGTCTGCTACAAAATGTCCACTCAATCTTTGCCACAGCAGTCTTTTCTTTTGACACTTTCGTACACCGGATGTACAAGAAGTGTCAAAATTATGTTTCCTGCCCCATTCCTGCTTTAGACCCTGAGTAGATATTAGCCTTACCCTATTATTAAAAGACGCCTGCTTCTTGGGAGAAAAGCAATGACAAACCTAGACAGCATCTTAAAAAGTAGAGACATCACCTTGCCAATAAAGGCCCGTATAGTTAAAGCTATGGTTTCCCCAGTAGTGATGTATGGAAGTGAGAGCTGGACCATAAAAAAGGCTGATCACTGAAGAATTTATGCTTTTGAATTATGGTGCTGGAGGAAACTCTTGAGAGTCCCATGGACTGCAAGAAGATCAAACCGATCCATTCTTAAAGAAATCAGCCCTGAGTGCTCAGTGGAAGGGAAGGACAGAACCTGAAGCTGAGGCTCCAATACTGTGGCCACTGCCTCCCACAGTTTGCTCAAACTCATGTTAGTAGCTTCAAGAACACTGACCAGCCATCTCGTCCTCTGTCGTCCCCTTCTTCTTGTGCCTTCAATCTTTCTCAACACCAGGGTCTTTTCCAGGGAGTCTTCTCTTCTCATGAGGTGGCCAAATATAGTTACTATTAATTCTGGGTTTGTTAATGCTGACATTTTGGGACACACGTGTCCAAATGCTGTTCAGTTGGAAAAGAGGCTTTCTGTGTCTCCAACATTTTTAGAATAACGTTAGCTTGACAGTTCTGCAGAGATCTTTGTGGAACCTGGGTCTCTTTTTCATGAGGGACTTTAAAATTCCTGCCAAGCTTTTCCCTTATGTAAAGACTAACAATGGAACACATTCTCTTCTCCTAGAAACAGCAGTGACTAGCAGCACCCTATGAATTCAAACTTTGCTGCTCTTTTTCTCTCCCTTTTCTGTAGTAAAATGCTATGAATAATTTAGGCAGATGTTAATGATTGTCTTTTCAGTGTGCTATAAATTAATACTGTAATTGACACTTTTCTGCCTTAGTAAATGGAAAGATCTTCCTGCCTTTGATTGCTCTCTATGTATTCTTGCAAATAAATTGTTTTGCTGAAATAGAGAAGAATTGGCTTAAGCTTGTAGGCTGCATGGATTCTGCATTTTTCAAAAGCTGCAAGATAGACTACAAAAGTTCATTGTAACCTGTGGTGGTGCTACGATGGTCTCCTGCTGACACCATCAGTACCATTATACAATGCTGACCCACACAGAGACTTTTGAAGGCAGCACCATAATTGTAGAACAATTTGATGTTTTACAGCCTTCCCTAGATGTTCATCAGTGCCCTTTATAAAAGTCTCCTGGAAGTGATATAAGAGTTGGAATTATGACCAAAAAATAGTATTCAAAGGGGTATTTTGAGGCAGTCATCATTGTTTTTCAAAACGAACTTATGCATTTATGTTAATTGCATGAAATTTTCTTTCGATTGTAAATCAGTACAGGAGCACCCTCTGGATTTGTCACATGGACACCTCTGTTTATATGTATATTCTTTCAAAGGCATTTAATTACACTTCCTTAGAATTATTCTTAAATTTTAATTTAGTCTAAGTTATCTATAAATGATGACTTTCTGATCCTAATAGCTTCCTAATGTTGTTTTGCCAAATGAATGATTGGGGGAGGGTGGATTTGAGTAGCAGTGGGTGGTGGGGCTAGAACAAAAAGTGGGTAGGGCTACCCTTTGTCACCCTCACATACAATCTTTCTTCTCATCCTAGTGCATGGGTAGGCAAACTAAGGCCCAGGGTCCGGATCCGGCCCAATCACCTTCTAAATCCGGCCCACGGACAGTCTGGGAATCGGCATGTTTTTACACGAGTAGAATGTGTCCTTTTATTTAGAATGCATCTCCGGGTTATTTGTGGGGCCTGCCTGGTGTTTTCACATGAGTAGAATGTGTGCTTTTATTTAAAATGCATATCTGGGTTGTTTGTGGGGCATAGGAATTCATTAATTTATTTATTTTTCAAAATATAGTCCGGTCTGACACGCAGCGTAAATTAATAATGCAGAGTTTTAAAGAATAAAAGCTTTACTGAATTAAAATAAACTTCTTCATAAACAACATGGTTCCAAACAGTTTGACTGAGATTACATACTGACTGTTCACAACTGAAACAGACTGACTCTGACTGACATCTTACAGAGAGTACAAAAGAGAAACTGGCTACTAAGTCACATGTCAGAGTGACTCAACAGTTAGCAGTTAGGCCTGAATAACTTTAGTAGGCCCAAATGATTGTACAGTCCCAGCCTGCTTTGCTGCTTCTGCTCTCATGTGTCTTTGTCACATGACACGGTCCCCCACAAGGTCTGAGGGACAGTTGAAAAAGTTTGCTGACCCCTGCCCTAGTGGGTTACCTTGGAAGGAAGAAATTGCTGTCTGAGGTTTGAATTGTATGCTTGAATAGGGCTTTCCCTCTTTCTCTTTGCATTGCTCCATTCGTTTTAGTATTCACCCTCCATCTCCCCTTGCAGACTCCCCCACCTCCCTAAATTAAGCTGAGGGCCACAGGTTCCCCACCCTTCTTTATCTCAGTGAAACCTGATAGTCAGTGTATGTTGTTTGTATTAAATGGATGTAAATGTTGATAGCCATTCAGTCCCTTATGTACATATTTACTTATGCTGGAGTCCAGAGGGAGATAGGCGGCCAAATGTCCTTACACCCAGTGGGCTATAGGAGCTTCTGGAGCAGCTTCCAATAAATATAAGAGGCTAGCTACAGCAGTTCATTTAATCAAGTAAAAACAAACCACCCAAGGCTGTAATCCTACCATACCTGTGACTAAGCTCCATTTAACTCATTGGGATGTACAGTTATCTTGTCCATGTCTACTCAGAAGTATGCCTTTAGTATGTGTTGGTCAGGTCTAGCCAACATGGTGCTTTCCAGATGTTGTTGAACTTCAGCTCTCAGCAGCCCCAGGCAGCATGACCAATAAGCAGAGATGATGACAGTTGTAGTCCCACATCATCTGGAGCACATCACATTGACTACCCTTAATGTTGGCCATTGATGCTCTTGGGAACTTATCTGTTGTTTACACATTCTTTTTGAAAGTGAGTTGTGTTGAAAGTGGGATCTTAAAGAATTTTATTGGTTTTGATTGATTTGCATCCAACCCTTTCCCCATGGGTTTTAGAGTAGCATCTTAGCCTCACGGAGAGCCTGCAAAGTAGATGTAGACTGAGGAATGATGTTATCTCAAAGCCAGCTGTTAAGATTCTAAGTTAAATTGGCTATTTGAACATGGGATATTACACCCACTTCTAACATAGTGCGAAAGTGTTTTTTGTAAGTAAAACTGTTTCCATTTGGGGAATGTTTTGTAGTGGCGTTATTTCATTGCCTGGCTTTAAAAACAAACAAGAAACTGTTATTTTCTTCTAGATCATCTTGCACGGTAAATATGATACATGCTTCAAATAAATATTCTCCCAGCTTTAACAATCTATTGCCTAGGTAAAGGAAGTCTCATAGCACCTCCCAGGTTTTGCAAACCTTCAATAAGAATAAATATCCTGTGCCAGACAAGGTGCCATTAAGGATTTACAAGGGAAAATAATTGAACTTATTTATCAAATTCTGGTTTCAGACAGCAGGCAATTAGCAGTGTTCTTTCCATTTAGGAACATCATTATTTGCAATAGTATGAATAGTTTTAGTAGTGGATGCATATATTTTCATCTTTTTTTGTTGTTCTCCACTACAGAATTGATTATTGGAACTCATTTGCATTAGGATTCTTTTTTTTAAAACCCTTCAACTTTGACATTTCTGTGATTTTCAAGTACGTAGCTGCTATTTTGTCTCATAGAAATAAAGGAAGACTAAAAAAAGTAAAGCAAACACTTAAGACTTGCACATATGTAGAAATCTATATCCCTACTCTCCTCTTGTTGCTGATAAATGGATGGATTCGGGTTAATTTATTCAAAGAGACTGCCGACATAAAACTCAGGTAGGGGTAATACAACATTAATCTTCACAACAGCCCTATTGAGTATTATTCGGTGAGTCTATCTGAGTGCAGGGTCCTCAATAAAAGTCCAACATCCCATATACTGGACCACCGCTCTGATTCATAGTTAAGAAGCATAGAAATATATGTGTCTAAAATTTCACCATTTGACATGAAGGGTTTCTACCATCCAATAGGCTAGATGCAATATGTTAGTAAAACAATTTATCTCTTTTTCTGGCTGACCAAGTAGCAATAATCTCCAGCCAAGTAGGTGTGCCTATACTGTTGCTGGGGTTAAGTTATAACACTGTGTTTGCATAAGGCTGCAGAATGAGGATTGGTAGCTCAGTTGATAAAGAGCATGGTGCTGATTAATGCCAAGGTTGCAAGTACAGGACAGCTGCATATTCCTGCATTCCAGGCATTGGACTACATGATTCTTAAGGTCCCTTCCAACTTTACAATTCTATGATTCTCTGAAATCCAGCGGGTTCCCTTCTAGTTTAAAAACACACAGCTGAGCTATGGGTACTCATCTCCATTTTAAGACTTTGCACTCTCTGCGTGGCTTTAGGCAAGATAGGGTTGTATTCAAGTAAGTGGTCTTTCTCCGGGTGTGAGGCTGAGAAAGGGGGGAAGCCTCCCAAGTGGGAGCTAGGAGGAGGAAACTGTATGTAGATGGAAGATTAAGATTAAATGATGATAGAGACCTATGTACATAAATATGTAACTTTGTGTTTTATTAGAATCAGTACTATTATGGTGGTTGTTACTATTTCGTCCCCCCCCTTCTGTTTTCTTTCCTTTTTTATATATTGATCTCTATTATTTATTTCTAGATTAGTTAGTTTCTTATTGTATAGTGTGTTGGAAAACCTTAACTAAAATTGATCATAAAGGAACAAATAAATAAAAAGTGGCACATTCTGATCCTGTAGGTAACAGATAGCCATCGTTATCATTGATATGAATTTCTCCAGTCCTCTTTAGAGGCCTCCAGGGTAGTGGCCATCACCACATCTTGTGTTGTCTAATTTCATAGTTTTTTGCGCAATGCGAAGAAGTCCATTTTGTCTGTTCTGAATCTCCCACTTTTTGACATAATTGTATGGCCCCAGGTTCAGTATATTGAGGGAGGGGTGGAAAGAGAAGCTTCGTCTAGACTCTACACCCTTGCAAGGTTTTTATGAATGTTGATCATGTTCCTCTGTAATTTCCCTTTTGCTGAACTACAAAGTGTTGAAACTGTGGACTTTTCTTGTAGAGAGGATGCATCCGTAAAGTTAGTACCTAGTATTTTTCAAAATCCCCTTACATGGTTGCTAACCACATGATTTAACATATTGTCTAACTTCAGCATAGGTTCAGGGAAGACAATATTCATCCAAAGCATGCAGGAGGAGAGGCTTAACCCCTTCCCTACCATGCTTCTAATGAAAACCAACCCTTCATGTGACAGTATGCATTCCAGCTCAGCTTCTTTGAATGCGTTTTTGATTAATCCACAAAGGTACAATTCAGTATAGTGTTAAAATATAGAAGTGGAATGCATGCCCCAACCCCCCTGAACCTATTCTGGGTTTCCCCCCCAGCCCCCCAGAGCAGATTTTTTTTGGGGGGGGGGAGACTGGGGAAGTCCCATTGCACGAGCGAACCTCATTCTACTCATACAACAACTTAGTTGGATCCACCCACAGTGTTCTGGAGAGATTTGAATCCATTGGCTTTGCCTTTTAACTTTTTTATTAGCCCTGTCATTTTAGAGAAATTTCCTTTTATGAAATCAAATGTGACAGTGTTGAACTTTTCTGCCAATCTCTGAAAATGAAGCCCAGGTTCATTGTTTTTTAAAAAAACAAACTTCTTTTATACCCCTTTATAAGGTAAAAGTAAGGTAACCCCTGACCATTAGGTCCAGTCGTGACCGACTCTGGGGTTCCAGCGCTCATCTCGCTTTATTGGCTGAGGGAGCCGGCGTACAGCTTCCAGGTCATGTGGCCAGCATGACTAAGCCGCTTCTGGCGAACCAGAGCAGCGCACGGAAACGCCATTTACCTTCCCGCTGGAGCGGTACCTATTTATCTACTTGCACTTTTTGGTGTGCTTTTGAACTGCTAGGTTGGCAGGAGCAGGGACCGAGCAACGGGAGCTCACCCCGTCGTAGGGATTCGAACCGCCAATCCTCTGATTGACAAGTCCTAGGCTCTGTGGTTTAACCCACAGCGCCACCCACGTCCCGCACCCTTTGTATTCACTTTTAAATAGGCCACTCACTTGCTAAATTGACAGTTGTCACTTCCCATAGTTTAGGCAACAGTCCTTTTAAAAAACAAAAAACAAAAAACCCAAACATTTGAGCTAGAATCCTACTTCTGGAATATTTCATGAATAATTCTTTCAGGTACAATTATATTTCCATGTGAAGTACTTTGTTTTAAGCAAGGAAATGTTGACCCTGTTTGAACCAGATTAATTTCCCTGTGCGGTAACACCACACCTATATTCCCAACTGTTGATATTGCAGGTGAGATACCTGTTGCAAGGACCCCCAGGCTGATAGATACGCGAGGTGAAGCTGTTCGCACAGACCAACGCTGTGACTCATAATGTTTATATTAATTTTTTCTCTGATTACTGCTTTGAATTTCGACATAATTGTATGCCAGAGAAATGTCAGGTTACTCTCCCCCCCATTTGCTGGCTTTTATGGCTTGATATTTGGGTGAGTTTTTTTATATTTAGTACAGTATAGCAATCAAATAATTATTCAGTTCATATACAGATACAAATACATTAAATTACTTGTGCTACATCCTGATGGTTGCAGGGAAATGGCAAATATTTTTAAAGTAGGTTTTTATCACAGCAAAAGGAAACTTGCAGTCCTTGGGTAAGGAAAGGGAATTGCTTTCTATTTTGAATTATTTCTTATGCAGAGGATAGCAGGTTAATGTGAGCTTACTGGTCTTGTCTTAGAAAGTGAGATGATGCTTGATTAGACGGAAACAATGTACTAACTGTAACAGTGACGGAAAGTTCACCTTGTACTGTACTGACACTCAGAAGAGAGAGGAATGCTAAGAAAGGCAAAGCTAGAACAAAATACTTGCAGACAACACAGGGAACACAGTACAGGTGAGAAAAAAAGAAATAATAAAGAAATTGCCTGAGAGAAAGTGCTCACTAGCGTCTCCTCATCATCCTGGGGGGAAGGTGACAGGTGGGGTACTGCAGGATTCTACCCTGGGCTCGCTGTTGTTCAACATATTTATAAACAACTTGGATGAACGTATTGAGGAAATGCTAATCAAACTTGCAGATGACCAGTGGATTCAAGTTACAAGAAAGGAGATTCCGACTAAACAGGAAGAACTTTGACAGTTGAACAGACTCCTATGAGAGGTGGTGGTCTCTCCTTCACTGAAGGTTTTTAAGCAGAGGTTGGATGGCCACCTGTCAGATTCCTGCATTTCAGGGGGTTGGACTAGATGACCCTTGGGACCCCGTCCAACTGTACTATTCTATAATTATTTGACAGCTGCAAGAATGGAAGTGTAAACAGATGTATACAGAGGTCCCTCCAACATTTGGGGGGGCATTGCGTGTGCATGATGTCACGCGCCACCCCCCAACCTGGCCAGGCCGACTTGGCCCGCCACCCACCCACTGCCAGCTGCCTTACCTTCATGAAACGGATGCACCGGGGTGAAGATGCTTTGCCATGCTGCGTACAGTGGTACCTCGGGTTACAGACACTTCAGGTTACAGACTCCACTAACCCAGAAATAGTACCTCGGGTTAAGAACTTTGCTTCAGGATGAGAACACGGCGGTGAGGCAGCAGTGGGAGTGGTACCTCAGGTTAAGAACAGTTTCAGGTTAAGAACAGACCTCCAGAACGAATTAAGTTCTTAACCCGAGGTACCACTGTACATGATGGGAATGGCCAACACTCCTATTAGGACTGTAGAGATCAACATAAGGGAGGAAGACTGGCTTTCTTTGTATAGGGCCTTAAACTGGGAAGGAGCAGTAGGAAATGGTATTACTACTGATTTTGGAATAAGGATGGTGTTACTATCAGCTAATTGGAGATCTTCAGCCATCTCTAATTCACAACAAATAGGCAGAATGCTGTTGCATGGTCTATACAGATTTTTGTGTTTTAAGTTCCTTAATTTATTAGCTGGAAAAGGGAATGGTATATAACACATGACCCAAGATACCCTGGAGAATGCGCCAAACTAATGAGGGTTAGTATGAAAGATTACTGAAATTACATAATGGACTTGGCCTAGATAGAGAATCTTCACAATCAGTACCAAAGCTTGGGTCACAGATTTTAGGATTTGGGTAGATTGAACATTGAAATGGGTTAGATTTAACTCTTTAACATTTAACTTCATAATTTCCTTGGGTTGGCTAGGTTTATGATATAAGAGCTCTCGGTCAAGAAGATAGATTAGGCTTCAAGTCCTAACCCCACTTATCTGTTGAATTCAGTAGGATTTTGTTCTAAGTAGACATGATTAGAATTGCATTGTTAATGTGACTCAAGATGGAAAAGGCGAGTGCTTAATGCCTGCACTACTCATAGGACACGTGGTATTAGATGCCACTGCTCCAAAATATGGAAGCTAGTAGTGTGTTCCCAGAGGAACACATGTGTAGTTGCAGTCTTTTATTTAAATCCATGAAATGCGGACTTTTCCCATTATATTTCCCAATAATTCATATTGTATCTTTCTGTGGAACATGGTGTGGATTTGTAATGGTGGCAAGGACAGCAGTTTCTCTATGTACCGCTGAATCAAATGACTGTTGGGGGCCCCATGCTGTTGAGATAATACCATTGGCTTACTATTTGTTTCCTGTTAATTGGGCTTGTCACATTAGCATAAAGTACTGATTGCTTTGGATGCTAGGAGGATAGGTATGCACATTAAAATGGTTCTCCTGTGACTCAGGCAGGGATATAACAATCCTTCATGCTGCACAGAAAGGTCAACATTTCCTTTCTTGCCTGAGTCAGCCACCAGATCGGAAAAATGTGGAAAATCCTTCCTGATCCCTAACATAGCAATCAATTATGCTCTGAGACCAAAAATAACATTACCCATAATATCAGTATCCGTTGCCGTTTCCTAGTGCACATACTGCGCAGCTTTTGATGACGGAGGGAACTAGTTCATTTTAGAAGTTATCAACATACTTTCCAAGTCATTATTCACAGTAAGAAATAACAGTAAAATTATGGCTATAAAACACACTGACGATGCTTCATTTGAGGGCAAAATCCAAAGTTACACTGGATTTCATCTGTGTCGTAGGCATCATAAGTAAAATTTCTAAGTTATTCCTAGTTAAAGAGTAACTAAATCTGGTACTTAAGCGCAATGGCGTAGTCAGGATTTAATGGGGGGGGGCAGGCTTTATGTTTTGGTGGGCAGAACCGAGTTATCTGTGATGCAATTGGCCAGTTAAGCATTTTTATTTATTTACTTGAATGGGGGGCAGCTACCCCCTCTTCCCTATGCCCATGCTTTCAGCATCAGAAAAACCTGGCAAAGAAAACTGCTGGCCATAAAGAAAAATAATACTTTAGCCTGTTAATGTATGTAATTAATATGGTTGGTTACAGTGCACAAGCCATGGGAGAAATAATAGTTTGAGAATATTTGAGCAATATCATGCCTGAATCTAGGACCCCTTCAGGAGGTTTTTTGTTTGTTTGTTTTTTTACAAAGATAAGCTGCCTGCAGGGAAGAATGCACACACCTTTGAGTGTTATTTCACGTGTATAGTTTGGGAAGCCAAGCTGCAGCAAAAGTATTGTGTGCATGGGATAGTTAATGATGATAACCCCCTTTTGTGTATCCAGTGTTCAAGAATGAGAAACTAAGCAATGGGGAATGCATTCACTCTGAAAGCTATAATTATCTGAAATATTAAAAAAGAACTATAGGCTTACTCATTCTCTCTCTCTCTCTTTCTAGAAAGCGACGTTTGAAGCTAAGAAGAAGATTAATCTCAGATGGAAAATTGCATTATGATGGTAAATTCCCACTATTCTGTTGAGTTTGTTCAATTTAGAAAATAGAATGCACTTATCTGAAACTATGTCAATGGTTATTCTGGGGCAGTCTGTGTAATGAGTGGTTTGTTAAGGTGCTTTTCACCTATGTGGTTAATGGTTTTTTTAAAAAATTTGCATAGCCTTTGGGAAAAAAGTGATTAAAAATTACACATTTGTTTGCTGCATTTATACCTTCCTTTGAAGACGCTCAAGGTAGCATCAGTAGTATTCTCTGCCCCCCCATCTTGTTAGGCAGATTAGGCTGAAAAATAGTGACTGGCCCAAGACCCCCTAGTGAGTTGCCTGGCTGAAGGGGGATTTGTGGTTTTGTCAGCCCCTCTATTATGCTTATTCACAACTTGTTTTTCATTTATTTTTTTTGCTTGGTATTGTTAAGTTGCTTAGCTATTATTATGCAAGTGTACGTTTTCTACCCCTGTAAAGCTTTTCACTGATCAGTCAGTTAATTAAATTAAATTAAAAATATTTTGATTACTAAAAAGCTGCCCGTGAATTAATTGGGCAACACATAAATATGCAAATAGTTTTAAAAGACTAAGAAACAACAACTGCAGACAATCCCTTTGTGGTTATAGTTGGAGCACATAAAAGCGTAATTTCAGAAGACCAAAAAACTGACAACATGTATAACAACTGAGCAAAATGGGAATTTTGGATCTTAATGAAAGCCCATTGCTGAAAGAGGTTTCATTAAGAATGAGCACCCTGCTCTCTCCAGTGTTGTTGCCCACATGATGTAACAGATTATATAGCTGCTCTTTCATATACTAAGTCAAATTTAGGTGTATTAACTTTAAAGGAGTCAAAGTGTGGATGTTTCAGTGTGACCCCCACCTCTTATTTTAATGTTCCTACCCTCTAGATCAGAGTAATCAATGTGATGCCTTTCTGGCCTCGGTGGCCTACAATTCCCATCATCCCTATGCATTGCTGGGACCGCTGGCAGAGGAATGGGGGGGCGGGGGGAGAGCATCGCCCCTGGCACCATGGGAGAGGGGGGTTCCATCATGGCCACCCCCGAACGCGCCGCGCACCCCCTGCCATGCCAGGCAGTGCGCCACGCTCCTGGGACTTATACCATGCCCCCGCAGGTGATGTGTCACGCCCCCGGGACGTGCACCAGCCACGCCACCGCCTGCTCTCCGCCCCAGCTGCCGGAGCATGCAGCTTCGCCACTGGCTGGGACTGGTGGGTGTTGATTTCCAACAGCACCAGGAGATCGCCATGCTTGTAACTTTGCTTATTAACGTTTTGAATCAATCACTTTACACAAATAAAATGTCATTTGTTCCGCTAGGAGGTTCGTGTGTTTTTCTATGTGCTCCCCACGCAGACTTGCACTGTACACAGATTGGATTTGGAAGGGCCAAGACTCCCATGTGTTCCCATCCCATGCTGCGAGGCAGAGCTATTCATGCAGTCCCCCCACCCTTTACTTAAATGCTGATTTTCTTACAACACGTTTTAATTAAGGGTTTGAGAAATAAGTAATTTGCGTTTCGCTTGGAGGAATATTCCTGTTCTGAATATTTTAACACATCTAAGAAAAATACTCGAGGCAATATTGGGAGGGAAAAAAGTAGGGTAAGAGAAGAGGAAATAGTTTTAGACCAGATGCAGCAGAAACCACCTTGCTTGGTTTCCCCCCGGTTTGTAATGGTGCATTTGGGATTGTATTGCAGTTTGTCTGCCACAGGGTTTCTTCAGTAGTTCATTCTATGATGACTGTGAGAGCACTGTAGGATGTTCATGCAAAAAAAATAAAAACACTTTCTTGCCTAGCCTTATGAGAATAAATATAAGGATATTATTTTTTTGAGATCTGCTTTTAAAAATACTATAATAAAACATCAAGTACAGCTTCCAAGATCAGCTGTCAGATAATAGTACAAGTAGAAGAGAATTACACATCTATGGACCCTACAAAATGTATAGCCGAAAATTAATAGAAAAACCGAATAAAAAATAACACCTCACCCACCCCAAATTCAGTTGGTGTACTTAATTCAGAAATGATGAATGTTGATCCTGCTAGCTCCAGCCAGAGGTTTAGAGCAGGTTAGAAAAAGAGTTTGTCACTGATATGGAATAATTTGTCCTAGTTATTCTCCTGTGTCTGTAGAATAAAGACAATGTATCCTTAGGTACATAATAAAAAAGATTATGATGAATAAGTGATGCATTCTGGTTCTGATAAATAGACAAGTCTCCTTGTGCAGTCAGGGATATAATACTTGCTGCGAAAGAAAAATATTGAGTGTTAACATAAATGTAACAATGGTTCTTTTTTTAGTGTAGGAATATGCTAGTTGGGTGCAATGAACCAAATATTTGAAAAACTGTCACTTCTTCATAGAGCCGAGCATACCATATGAAATTATTTGAAGGATTAGACCTCCATGTACCTAGGTTTGTAAGACAGCCTATGTCAGAAAGGGTAACTGCAGTGTACATTAATTTCTGCTTGTACCAGACAGCACTCCACAATGGGTAGTGTCTTTTCTCATTCAGTAGGAGCTTACTTCTTCCCAAGATCTATTGGTTGATGAAGATTTCCATTCCTTCTTGAGTCCAGCCACCACTGGATCAGAGAGGAAGCGGGTAGCCGTAACATGACTGATGCTCGCTAGGAGGCTAGGATAGCAGCCTTAGCCTCCCCAGCCCTTATCTGTTGCAGCCTGCCAGTGGAAACAGAAAGTTTGGCTAGCTAGACCTGCCAGTAAAGAGCATGAATTTTGCCACAACCGTAGCTGGCTTCCAGTGGGAAAGCCTCTGTTGGTGGTGGGTTAGTGCCGGCAGGCCGGCGCTAATGGGATGGTCTGGAAGGATGAAACACCGAAAGGGTTTTCCCTTTTTTGTGGCATAATGAGAGTGAGGGCACTCTTCCTGGGCGATTGGTTGTAGATGGGCTTGCTTCTAGGTGAGAGGTTGTGGCAGCTGAGGCATGGGGTGGGAGGGATATGGGTTAACTTGGTTTCTGGGAGAAAGTTATGCAGGGGAGCTGTATCTGTAGTGAGAGCATGAATGCAGCTTACAAACTCATACCCAGTGCGGCTGGCAGGTATTTTGTGCTGTTGCTGTCGTACATTGTTTTGATTTACTGTATGTGTTGTATTTTTACTGCATATTTATTCTGTATTAATATATTCACTGTTTGGGGGGTCGTTGGGTCAAAAAGCAGCATAGAAATAAACCATAACATAACCTATTTTAGCAACTATTAATCAGGCCTTGCTACCTGAAGGATTGGAGCTTTCCCTCCATGTTTTTGATTTTTTCTTTTGCCATGCTTACTGAGGAATTGATCATTCTCTAAGAGAAAGGGAGGTTTGCCTCCCACACTCCTGCCTGTGCAGTTTCTATTACGATAGGTTCCTGACCCCACCCTCTCATACCACCCTCCTATTTTAAATGGTGCATTGTGCCTTTTTGGGACTCTTTGCAAATTTCACCATTGTAGAATTCCACTAGTGAGTTAAACAGTGGTGAAGTCGGTATGATGGTAATTGTTCATACTCGGCATACAGTTTTACCTCGGAAGTCGAACGGAATCCATTCCGGGAGTCCTCCGACTTCCAAAACGTTCAGAAACCAAGGCACGGCTTCCGATTGGCTACAGGAAACTCCTTCAGCCAATTGGAAGTCGTGGAAGCCCCGTCGGATGTTTGGGTTCCAAAGAACGTTAGCAAACTGGAACACACACTTCCGGGTTTGCGGCATTTGGGAGCCAAAACGTTCAACTTGCAAGGTGTTCAGGATCCAAGGTACAACTGTATTATTGCTTGCTGCTATTCTCTTGATAGTATCGCATATAATTTCCCAGTGAACATTGCAGTCTCGTTCAGAGTAACATCCAGTTCTTGACTTGTTATATATTACAGTTCATAAAGTGCCCTTTCAGGTTCTTTTGAAATCCTGGCAGTTCAAGAGTTGCAAAGAGGACATGACAGCAGTAAGTTGCAAAGACAGTGTAATCACAAAGTAAATAAAAACTCCATTGCATGCTGTTTCGAACCTAATAAATGGGCCAATGTAATGAAACCTGTTTCTGGACATGTGCTGTATTAAAAGTGTAGCAATACTGACAGAGGGTAGAATTTATTCTGTTGAAAGCAGAGTAATTTTAACTGGACAGGGTTTAGTATTTGTGATGTAGATGCATTTTCACTATGAGTTTTCCACTGAACTGGTAATAGTGTTGCAATTTGGTTACTTAAGCCTTTGAAAAAATAATTGGATTTCTCCCGTCAAACCACATCATGTAAACTAGCCTATGCTATCTATCTCATTCCTGGTAAGCACAGACTTACTGGATTATTGAACTGCTTGGAATAGCAAGTCATTCCAGGAAAGTCATGCTAAACAAAATGAGCTCTTCTTTCCACAAAAAAAGAGCCCAAGCTCTTGTTGCTCCTGGAAAGTTGATAAGTACTACTGGTTTATTAACAAATTTATCTTGCACATCAGTACTTCAGAGCAATGCCTCAGATTATAGGACTTCTAGTGACACCTATGATAAACAGCTCTGAGTACATCAGGTTCTTTCTCTTTCACAGCTGGCAGTGAGAAAGTCCAGCATGTGCTCTGGATTGTGGCCAGTGTTTAGAAATTTGGACTCTTTCATAAGCTCACATCTTCTCTCACCTTTCCATTGGTGAAGATGGAACTGGTTATTGACCTTTATGATTTGGTGTTAGCAACAGTAGTGAAATTATGGAAATTGACTTTGGGTCTGATCCAGTGGAAGTTAATCACAATGAAGTTCTTTTGAAACCCATCAGCCAAGTTAATTTCAGATCAAAGGCCTCTAGTCTATCTCAGTAATAATTCAAAGTGCTTGCAGTAAGCAATGAAGTTCTAAATGGCTTGGGACCTGGGTTTCCGAGGGACGCCTTCAAGCTCGTGAACCTCATGTTTGGCTTTGGGCATACTGAGCCTGAGCAATACCCAATCCTGATCCTCATTAGTAATTTTTATTTATAAAAACACTCTGGATTACACTTGCTTAGTACATACCATGTTCTGACTCAGTTTTGTAATATTTTTTGGGGGTATTCTGCTCAACATAGTGAAAAAGAGGGCAAACTGTGTCTTGATGCCTATTATTGTTTTTCAGCTCCCTGGCAAGGAAGTTATCAGATGCTCAGATTCTGAGTCTTCCTTGGGACGTGGTGGACTTTCCTTCCATGGAGGTTTTTAAGCCACCTGTCATGGATGTTTCAGTCGAGATTCCTGCATGGCAGGGGGCTGGACTAGATGACCATTGGGTCCCACAGGCAACACTGAATTTGATTTAGTTCTTCACTTCAGCATTGTCTAAAGCTTGTAAGATCTGCGGCTCACACCAATTGTTTTGATCCTATGCTGTTAACATTTATTTACTTTTGATTCCTATTGTTTGGAGTACTCCTGGAGCTGAAAAATGTTCTGAGAACCCAAAGAACTAGCAGTGTGTTCTGCAATACAACAAAGTTGGCAAACCACTGCCCCGTAACTCGTGATATATATATGTTTGCTTTCTTTAACTGCCACTATCCATAGTGTGATCATCTCTTCACCCTTGTTGAAAACCACATTTTTCAGTTCCAGGAGTACTCAAATCAACAAAGCTCTCAATTCCTGGTGTAGCTACAGGTCTACCAATTGCTAATAGGAGAGGAACAGCCTTCAATTTGTCATCCCTTCTGGAAGAAGTAGATATTGTGAATTTTATTAATTTGATACTCTTTTTCACAGTTTTGCTAAGCTGTCTGTGAGCATGCTGTTAGAAGGGCAGGATGTACTTTTAATAAATAAATAATGTGGCTAAGCCTGCAGTTAAGTTGTTGGTTAACAGAAAGATTTGATGGCACCTGGACTACCAAGTTTCAAGGAAATCACTGGAGATTGCTGGCAAAGTTCTCCCAGGTCAAGTACTTTGAGAATAACTTTGATGGCTCCTAAAAAAGCCTACCTGAAGGTGGAGGTGAGCCTTACAAGTTCTCTGATTCATTTCAGTCTCAGATTAAATTCCCTGCCCACCTTTCTCTCTCCCCCTCCCCACCCTGGAGATATATAGGGAAGGAAGATCTATCCCCTTCCTCCATTTCCAGCACACTGGCACAAATGCCCTTGATATTTATGGACTATGACACCCAAAGTACCTTTCTCCTTAGTATACAGTATAGCAAAACACTAGAGTGATGAAGAGGTGCTCCCGTTTCTACACACCAGTAACCAGTTGGAAGGTGGGGTGTTTGGAGGGGCCAGCAGGAAAGTTGTTTTAGAAGATGCAAGATCTGTTGTGCATGGAGGAACACATTTTCTAAGCCTTGAGTTGTCTTGGAAAATGATCACAACTCTTTCTGGAGGTTTTTTCATGTGTTTTTTAAGAACTTGGATAATTGCCAAGGACAGCAGAGGAAAACACATCTATCTCTTGGGATTTATTGTACTTGATTAACATGCATCTTAACAAACCTTTCTCAAAATGAGCATATTTAATATCTTCTGTGGAGACCTGCTCAGTGTTTTTGATGCAACTTTAGAAGGTGTATTTGTAAAAGCACACTGCTTCATCATAAGGTTTTGGGTAAGGCAATAAAGGTGGCATTTGTCTGCCACTATGGCAACGGATACTGACATGGAAATGACTGACTTGAAAGTATTATGTTATGATTCATTTCGGGGAAGAACTGAAACTGTTGCTGTTGAATATTGCAAATTATTCATGGCTGTACAATGCAACTGTTTTTGTTTTGGAGCTGTTGCCACAGCAAAGCATTTGGGGAAACACCCTTTTGGCTTAAGAAGGCTGAGGCAGGCTGCATGTAGGAAAGTGACTGCAATACAGCCCCGTGTGCATTTTTTTTTTGGTCAGACCCTTCCAAGAACACCATCAGCTGTGTGTTTATTTAAAGTTTCTAGTCCTTACTGTTAAAGATGGCAGAAATGCTGAAAAGAGTGAAGAGGTGTTTTTTGTTTTTTTTTAAAGAGAGACCCAACTGTGGTTACTGTGCATGTAATCAGTCAAACACTTTTCAGAGTTTTTACAATTCTAGATCAGACTATTGTAAAGTACGCACATGCATCCCCCACCCACTAAAACTTGGCATTTGTCCTTTGTTAAACAATATATAAAATAATACGCAGGTTAGCTGCAGTCCTGCAGGTTTTACACACACACACACACACACACACACACACACAATTTAATGTTTGGACTGAGTGCTCCTATACCTCACCCCTTCTAGTTTGTATTAAGCCGCCATTCCCTATTGTATCCAAACCAGGGAACCCTGGCTTAATGTCTGTATGTCTATCTTGGCTTATTTTCCTGGTTTGTTAACAGCATGAGGATGGGGAGTATAAGAAAAACTCTATGCATATAACATACATGGTATACCCTCTGCAGTTATTGGTAGCCTATCATGCAAGAAGATCACTGATCTGATCTTGTTCCAAACCACTGAAGACAGCTGAATTCGAAAGGCCCCACATTCTCTTAGGTGACTTGCAGAAATCCTTATTCTGCATCTTTAGAAACCAATAAAAGTAACAACCCGATTCATAGTGTGCAATTGTTGAGAAATGTGCTGCTGAGAATAGGCATCTCAAAATCAGAATGGGTAACCATTTTTTATTATATATAGCCAGCTGATTCAAGGATCTTTATCCCAGAGAGGTGGGATAAAGCAGAGAGAACAGTGACTTGCCCTAGACATTCCATAAATATTGCAGCTGAGTAAAGCTCTTTAACCTGGGTTTTCCCACACCGAAATCTAGCACTCTGACCACCACTCCACACTTGTGTAGCAATGTGTGCGCCTGTTCCTGCTGTTTTTAGTTTGAAACAGCATCTGTTTCTGTTCCTGGAAGCTGGTCAAATTCTTCCAGCATAGCTACATTCTTCTCAAAATGTATAAGGTTGGTCTTGTTGCATTCTGGAGCCCTGTATCTCAGTGGATCAAAGAATGTACTTGTTTGGCTTGCAAACAGGGACAGGACAATCAAGCAAGGAATTTTCACCTCAGACCTTGTGCTGGCTGCCTACAAGTGCTTTGTCTGGCTCTTGCTAGATATATGCGTGTGCAGATATATGTTAATGAGATGTTGTAGTTTCAGTAAAGTACAGTGGTACCTCAGGTTAAGAACTTAATTCGTTCTGGAGGTCCGTTCTTAGCCTGAAATTGTTCTTAACCTGAGGTACCACTTTAGTTAATGGGGCCTCCTGCTGCCGCTGCACGATTTCTGTTCTCATCCTGAAGCAAAGTTCTTAACCCGAGGTACTATTTCTGGGTTAGTGGCGTCTGTAACCTGAAGCGTCTGTAACCCGAGGTACCACTGTATTTTGTTTTCTGATGAGTTAAATGAATTTTCTTTATCTGCACTGCAATTACAGTTGTATTTTACCTATGTTAAGTAGCTGGAATTGTTTGTGAACATTGACTTTCAAGTGTCTCTATGTGATGAAGCTTGATCTTCATTCACTCGCTGAAAAGTGATTGGGGTAGTTGAAATTTGGCACAGATACTGTTTTAACTCCCCTTTGCCTCCTATCATCACAGCAACTGGCACAGAGGCACAGGAATGCTGCGATGTGAGTTCCAAATAAGTATTGGATTGGGGAAGAGGACATTTGTAGTGCTGCCCAGGAATAAAAATGAGACCAAAAAATATACATTGGACTTTTATCCAGTCCTCAAGATTGTGTGCAGGTGGGGTATATGAGGAGAATTCCAGCAGCAACCAAACACATGTTTGCAAAAATAAATTTGTATTTCCTGGTATTATAGAATGTATGTAAGAAAAATATATATGAAACAATGTCATTGAGTGAGAAATTAGTGAAAAAGTTCTTCTTGCTTGGTAGGAGACAAATGAAAGGCAAGACAGCAACAAATTGAAAGGATGGGTGACACTATGACTTCAAGGAGCAAGATAGGTAAGGCAGTTCCATTTCTTTATTTTTAAAAAGTACATGTGTAAAGTATCACACCAGAGAGAAAAAGACTGGTGCTGTTTAATTCATGCAGGCATGTTTTCTTAGCCCAGTTTCAAGTCACCAACTATCTGCACAGTTGAGTAGATTCTTTCAGAGGCCATGTTTCTGAATTAAGAATTAAGAAGAGGTTTTCCCCCACCATATGTGACATCTGATTAAATATTTGTTTCAAATACTTGTTTGTACTGTTCATGATAAAATAAAAAGCTTTAATTGCATGGAAGAAAACTCTGATGTTGTATACTTAAGATGTTAAATTTGTTCCTGCTAGGGTGTTACAGTAGCCAGTTTAGGAAATAGTATAGATAGATGTATTAGTACTATGTAAGAGTTGTCTAAAAGCACCTTGCAAAGTTCAAATCTTAATCTGGCTATTTTGCACATTTTATAGTAGTTTGGTTTTTTTTAGTGTGCATTTAGAATATACAGTCATACCTTGGAGGTCCATTCGACTTCCAAAATGTTCAAAAACCAGAGCACAGCTTCTGAAGCCGCACAAGCCCTGTTGGATGTCTGAGGTCCAAAAATAGTTTGGAAACTGGAACAGTCACTTCTGGGTTTGCGACGTTTGGTAGCCAAAACATTTTGACTCACAAGGCGTTTGAAAACCAAGGTACGACTGTATTTTTTTTTTTCCACCTTCAAAGTTCATACAGTCTGGTTTGTTTTTACAAATACTTTGAAATCAAAATTGCAATGTAGTTTGGTTCATGTGTAAGTGATCCTTTCATTTGCAATATCTGGGGAAACTTTGAAGCCAAGTTTTTTTTTTTAATAAAAAAAAGCATGTGAAATGTGTTTTGTTGTAAAGTCTAGATAGAGGGAGGGGATCTCTGGATTTTGGCAAAACAAGAAAGCTTACATTCCTAAGAAATGCTGATAATTTTTTTTTAAAAAAAGCCCAACAACTTGCAGTTATCACTGTACTGCATCAGTCATCCCTGAAGGTAAAATCTCTTGCATTCTTTCACCTCTCCCATGTACTTTTGCAAGCACCATCAAATCTCTCCCACATACAGACATCTGTGTTTGTGTGTGTGTCTGTGTGCAAACACAGGCTAAAGTACTAAAAGTGAGCACATGAAGTAACATCAGCTTGACTTAACAATGTGGGATATAAGATTTTCCTGCAAGTTTCAATTCATATTTTAACGGTCCTGAAATTTGCATTATGAAGGGAGGTATATAAATGTGCTAAATAAATATTTTGTGCATTGTTTTGAATAGCTTCCCAAATATGTATTCTAGTGGCTGACAATCTTTTTTTTGGTAAAGGTTCTCGCCCGCTTCATTTCAGGGATGTCCAGCTTCCAAGAGACTGCGATCTACTCCCACTATAAAAAAAGTGGCAATGATCTACCCATTGGTTGAGCTTTTTTAGGGGAGCCTTTATCAAAGTTGTTGAGCTTTTTGGGGAGAGGAACACCCACATTTGTTGAGCTTCTACGAGGGAGGCTTCAGCAAAGTTGAGGTTTTTTCTCCCCCCTGCCCCCCACTGATACTCCTGTAGGTCCTGAAACAAGTTTGCCACTTTACAGTTTACTTCCATAGATTATTTATTGACTGTGTGGATGTGGCTAATCTTCTACTATTCCCTCTTATTTTCTTTTTCATGGAAAGAAAATAAGAGGGAATAGTATATTTAAAGCAAGGTTGCTGTTAAGCTATAATGCTACTGTCTCAGCCAGCATGGCAAATCAGAAATTTTGTAGTTAAGCACTATGTTAGCTACTCCTCAGCTAGCCCATGAACTGTAAGTAACCACTCAGAGATCTATATCTGATATGAGATTGCAGAATGTACTCCATGCTTTTGAGGTTCAGAGTGCAAAGAAGCTTATACCATATGTAGAATTTGCTAATCTTTCTGCCTTCATCAGTCAATCTCTTTGTTATGGTCAATGACCAGCATTATTCTTAGAACATAAACTCTAGGGGAGAATATAAATCTTTTTAGCATGGCTAATCTTTTGACCTTTGTCCTGTCCACAGTCCACATAACACACGTTCTGCGTTGGTGATGTAGATGGCAATTCTTATGGAAAGGCAGTGGCACTGAGGCAGGAGAAAGAGGCAATGCCTGCCCTTTCTGTTTAATCCTGTGCAGACTTGAACTGCATTTTGCGTGGGAAATGTTAAAACTCAGCAAGTACACTTGCCTTGTTTCTCCTTCCTATTTTGATTCGAGAATTAATTTTACACTTCCGTTTAATTTTTGTGACATTGCATTTCAAGAGTTCCTTCCTCTAGCGGCACCGCTAGCAGAGGGACTCAGCAGCGGTGACGGTTTCACCAGTGATATATCGCTGAGTGAAACTGCCCACTCTGCCCTCACATGGCTAGGTGTGGATAGAGCTTGTTCCTCCCTCTGCATCTTTAGACTGCTTGACTGAGGGGAGTTGCGCTTGCCGCTCCCTGCAGCGAGCAGTTAAAGGAGCCCTGATGATCTTGCCGTTCACGTGCCAGTGGCGAGAGCACCGGGCTGTCTCAGTCGGGGGGGGGGGGAAGTTCCCTCCCCACAACTGAGAGGCACAAACAAGCTGCATTGTCCCAGCCCGTGAGCCTGGGTGAGACCGCCTCAGCTCTCGAGGTGAGAGCTGGGGCAGTTTTACCTGATGTCTCGCGGGCAGAGGCCAATGCATCTTGTCTTTTCAGCATTGCGATATATTGCCAAACTGCAGTGTTTAGCTGGTAATACACTGCGATGTTGAAAATCATCGCCCAGCCCTACTGTGCATATTACCTGTGCATACTTACATTACCCCATTTAAGTCAGTGGGGCTTACTTTTCTATAGACATTCATTGAATTGTAGTTCTGGTTTATTTCTTCCCCCATGTTACCATACTAAATGATTTTCTATGAATGTTAGTTATTTGTTGCCTGGCTGAAGTTGCTTTGATATTCTCTCTGACCACACATGAAACAATTTCTACCTTTATGTGTGTGTGTTTACTTGCAGTTTTTTCATTCTTATTTAGGAACGTGTGCTGGCACTTTGATTATTTACATCATGTGTTGTTTTTTACTTCTTGACTCTTGCTCTTTCTTACCTCTTCTGCTGACTCTTTTAAGTGCTAATATTTTTAGCAGTAGTTGTTGCACCATTGGTAAGCTACCAACCGTGGTAACTTCCATTGAGAATGTTTACTTGAGCAGAACCACCTGCTTCAGGTGGGCAAAGCTCAAGAGGCAGAACTCCGCCCACCTCGCCACTTCCACTGCTGCTGGAACGCCCCTTCTTGCTGGCAAGAGGGAGGCATTTCAGCATGCAGCATTGCTGCTAGTCTTCCCTCACCCAAGGTGGAAAAGCTGAGAGGCAACACTTTGAGGAACACCCCAGTGCTTGCCGAGCTCAGTGAGAGCTGGGACATTTCAATGTTGGTGGGAAAGTAGGAGGGGGCAGGAGGCGGTAATTCCTGTTTCGCCTCAAGTGGTGAAATGGGATGGGTCATGCCTGAGAACCACAGTAGTTATTGGGGACAGCTGTTATATCTGGAGTGTTGCATTGGAGAAGTGTTTCTAAGACCAGCGGTAAGTGTGTATCAGTAGTGGCAAAGGAACATTGAATGGCAGTCAGACTTTGTTACAGGTGTTAACTAGTAGCAGGTAGCAACTGCAACTACAGTTGTAGCATTACAATATGAATTGGTCTATAAGTTCTTATACTGTCAAAAAGATCAGATTGGCACAGTACAATCCCTTGACCTCTGATGTGTCTCTGTTAAGGGAAAGGGAAAGGTAAAAGGACCCCTGACCATTAGGTCCAGTCGCGGATGACTCTGGGGTTGCGGCGCTCATCTCGCTTTATTGACCGAGGGAGCCGGCGTACAGTTTCCAGGTCATGTGGCCAGCATGACTAAGCCACTTCTGGAGAACCAGAGCAGCGCACGGAAACGCCGTTTACCTTCCCGCCGGAGTGGTACCTTTTTATCTACTTGCACTTTGACGTGCTTTTGAACTGCTAGGTTGGCAGGAGCAGGGACCGAGCAACGGGAGCTCACCCTGTTGCGGGGATTCAAACCGCGGACCTTCTGATCGGCAAGTCCTAGGCTCTGTGGTTTAACCCACACCGCCACCCGTGTCCCGTGTTCTGTTAAGGGAACTTGGGTTTAAATGATCAGTTTTAGAAACCTCCTTTTCCCTGTAATTGTTTAATATTTTGACAGAGTAATTTGGTAAAAATAGGATTGCCTTTTCTCAGTTTCCCACCTTAAAATCCACTCTCTGTGATTTTGCACCCTTCTTAAAAGAATTAGCTTTGTTTGTAAAACCAATCAAAACAAAGGCTTTCTTTACAGTAACTGACTGTTGTGTTTTCAATTTGCAACTTTAGCATCTGCAAATACTTACATAGGCAGGAATTGGAATGAATTTTGGATTGCCCCATTAATATACTTAAGATACTCAAAACTGGAGTTTTGTAACTCAGCTTTAATTATCTAGGTTGCAGATACTTTTCAGGAGCAAAAAAGAAATTAAAAGCAATATATTTTAATCCTAAAATTGCCCCACCATTTTTAAGCACTGGAAAACTGAGCTTGCTGAATACCACCACACCCAACATACCATGTAATCTACATTCTCTTGGCACACCCTTCCTCATTCTCTGATCTGTGAAAGCTGCAGTGAAATAAATCTAGCATTTGTGAATGGCGATAGGCTTAAAGTTCTCTCTAACGGTACATAGTTCCTCCCACATAAGTTACAGGCTTCCTCCAGATGAACCGAATTCCCCAGTAAAGTCTTCTCCTCCTCCTCTTTTTCTTAAAAGCTACTGATGTCGCGCTTTGTACACATTGTATGGAGAAATGCAGCTGGAGGGGGGAAAACGTGAGTGTTTTATTTAAGAGCTTTATCTAGGCATGTATGACTTGGTCT